GGTCTGGATTGGGCTTTTGAAAGCCCAGGGCTAACCCCAGGGCTTTAGGAAGGTTTCACAGGCCCAGAGCTTTGAGGCTGACCTGATACAGAAATGCACAGAAGATGTGTCAAGGGCATCATGCTGTCTGTGGTGCTCTGTGTTGCTGGGAGCTGCAGGGAGGGAACAGACCTTGAGCATCAGGACTAGGACTGTCAGTGTCTCTCTGAGGCAAGGAAGGATTGGAGATTACTCCTTTTCTGCACTTAAGCACATGCACAGGGCCCAGTCATGACCCATTGTAGCTTAAGCCTGTCTGAAAAAGGAAAACCAATTCTAGAAGAATGCAGATTTGGACCCTGATGATGCAGTCTCTTCTACCTGAACCTTTCTTCCTCCTTTCTCAGCATAGGGCTGGCAGGGGCAGAACAGGCCTTCTGCCTGTGACGCTGTCTGGGTGTTTCAGGACCTCCTCCTCTGTGGTTCTGCCTGTTCTTTTCCCCACATAGATTGCTGCTTCCTACTTCACTGCACCCAAAGCTGCACAGAACCATCTTGATCCCATCTTGAACTAGTCTGTGAGAAGTTGTTTCCTCTGTCTTTCCTCCTGGAAGTCTGCGTATTGCAGAGCAGGCTTGCCAAGCCCAGCAGAGCTACACATGCCCTGCACCTCTCTGGGGGCAGGAAGGTGGTGAGGTGACATGTTCTAATTCACCCATGGAATAGCTCTATGGAAATACTTTCATATAAAGCTTAAAATCAGCATTCGTACAGTGAATGATTTTGCATGAAGCCAAGTAGTTCCAGCTCGGGTAGGTTTTTATTTCCCTGCTTACAAGTCTGTTACCATTTCTTTGTTGTTGGATACGACCTGTTGTGGAAGAGAGAATAATTCACTGACTATCTTAAATGCAGTCTCTTGCTAACAGCCAGGTTTAGACTAAATCCTGCCATGAGCAAACAGATAGAGAGAGGTTTCCTTCCTTAATTTTCTTACTTTTCTAGATCACTTCAGAGCCACTGTGCTATCACACAGTGCAAGGCCGCTTAGAAAACAAAGGTCCACCAGGAATAAACAAAAATATTGTTTCATCTTAACAATTCTGCCAGACTGCCCCCCTGCATAAGATCTTACCGGCTAGCAGCTAGGAAGACTTAGAACGCGAGGTATAGATGTCACAAGCTGCTTGTTTTTTTCAGTAATGTGGGATGTGCCTTCATGGTCTGTTACTGTGCAGTTGTCCTCCGTCTACTCTTCTCTGAGTAATGAATTAGTCTTTCAGTCTGTAAATATACCCGTGAGCAGGGAGCACAGGACAATTTCCTTTTCACAGTCCTGCAAATTCTGAATCGTACTTCCTTGATGGAAAATGGCAGCCCTTCAAGAAACTTGTGTATGTGAGTATGCAGGGGGGGAGGAGGAGTGGCATAAAGGACTTCCCCAGCTCCAGGGTCTCTCTATTCAATTCTCCTTCCACAGCCTGTGAAACTTTTGTTCCTAAGCAACAGCAATGCTAGGTCCTTGGAGATCATTAGCATAATGTTTGGTTCCAGCATGCAAGTTCAAGCTGGAGGGAAAAGAACTGAACGGCATGCAGTGCCTGGAAATGTTAGATTTCAAATTATGCAGAAAGAAAAAGCATCTGGACCTGGTTAGAAGCTGTTTGTCAGCTTCTAACGTTGCCTTAACTGTCCATTTTAGTCATTTGGCTATTTTATTTTTCTTGGCTGTAACACAGCATGAGATACTTGTATGTGTGTGTTAAAACGCGCAACATTTGTGATACCATCCTTAGCACATGCCAGATTGGATAGATATGGACACAAGAGGGAAGGCTCATTCAGCGGTGCAGCAGAGAGGATATGAGCTGCAGTTTATATTCATCTATCTGTGACCCTTCAAAAGTGCAGTTGGTACAACAATTTCCCTTTGTAGCATGTGAATTTACTGGAATTTGTCTCTCTGACTGGGGCTACCAAGCTCCAGCTTTTAGTAACTGGTTGCAGTAATTTTAAAATAGTATCTGGAAAAAAAGAACTGTAGAAGAGAAATAGCTGTGTGTTTTGTGGTAGGTATTGTTCACAGGAGATGCAACACTGAGGTCCCTCTCTTGCTGATAATGGGTCTGGGATATTATTGGCATAAAGAAGCTGATAATGTTGATGTGCTTGCCTGATTCCAGGGTTGGAGTTTGCATTCTGCTCACCTCAACAAATTAATTGAATTTACTTGATGGCGTTTCTTCTATGACCTGAAGTGTGCCTGGATGCAGCATTTCCACAGTGGAAACGTTATCCCTTTGTCTGGTTTAAGCCTGTGAATACGCACAGTGCAAACAGTGTTCCATAAAGGAGGGACATCACTTTCTCTCTCCCTAGCCCATTCAAGACATCCTACTTCAAGGAGTCCTACTTTAATATTATACTTGTATATAAATTTTGTATTATATCTCTATTCTTTGAGCACAGAGTAAGAATACCCAGAAGGTGGACTGGTACAATCAAACAAGGAGGACCCTGTACCTTTATTCTAAAGTAATCTAACCTAACACTTTTCTGAGGCTTGAGAGAGACTTAATTGTTTCACAGGGAAAGCTGACATTCCTTTTGACCTCTTCGTTCCTGTTTTAGTAGTAGGACTTGGACCTAGGTTGTGGCTTACCAGGAAGGGGATTTTCCTCACAATATTTTTGGTAATTACAAAGATTCTTTAAGAAAAGTGGTTTTAGGAGAGCCTTGGCACTGTTTTGCAGGCTTAAGAAGTCTGGAGGATGGAAGACAAAAAGAAAACGAAAGCAGCTTTGTGAAGTCTAAGAACCCAATGAAGTTTATTGGAATTTTAGTATTAATTACAGTGGGGGCAAAATCTTATCCTTTGAGATTATCTCATCTGCAATGAATCTCCAAATGGGTTGAGGTCCACCTGTCTCTAGCAAATGGAGAGCACTGGCTATCACAAGAGTGAGATCATAGTCTGATGTTAATGGAAGAGGGATTAATAAATCACTTATGCATAGTGTAGCCAAAGGTGGATCATCATTACTACACATCATGCTTAGATTCTGCTGTGGCTAGTACCCTACAAATACCTTATAGATTTAGATACGGATAGATATGTAGGTACTTTTGACTTCACATAACTTCACTCCCTTTTGAAGTTCAGTTATTTACATTTATAAAGCACTTCTGTTTCTTTTTCAAACCAGCCTTTGATTATTTATTTTTAAATGCACTTACTGCGGTTGGATAGCTGCAGTTGATCTACTTTGAGCTTTTGCTGTGCTGGCTAGAGAGGTGTTGGCTGGAGGAATGCTGATTGATTACCAAGGAGAAGGGAGGAACAGGCTTGAGCTGCCTGTAATGTGATTCATGTTCTGAGCCCCTGCGAGTTGACAAGGGAGAATGCAGAATTCCAGTTCTCTGGGACCTGGAGGGAGCATCCTGCCTGGTCCCCTGAGACCCAGAAGGATGGCTCTTACAGGAGAGTGACTAAATTTAGCCTTGCATATTTTCATGACATGGTGAACTCATCAACCTCTTTGAGTTATATAGCAGCTTCCAAAGTCAGCAGAGAGGATTGTTTTGACCCTTGCAGAGTCCTTAGTAGCTGTTTAGGTCTTGCGACAAGCAGAGCAAGAGTTCCACTAGAAGGTCATGGCACTCAGAAGTCAACATGTATTATGTATATTTGCATAACATACAGACTGGCCCAGTTTAGTCCTGTGTATAATATTTTATAATGCTCCCACTTTAAAATGTTGGAGGACTGATGGATTGAGCAGGCTTGTACATTACATAACCCCCTGCTTTCTAACTCAGCCATAAATCCACAATAAACCTGGGCAGTTTTAGTGACTCTATCTGCCTCTGTGGAAAGGGAAGAACCTAACCTGATCCCTCTGTGACAAACACCCTAATACAACCACACTTCAAATAATGCCAGGAATCCTGACCCTGTTCCATCCCTTTGACATACTCTCTCTGAGTTCCAAATATCTGTTAGAGACCTTACAAAGGCCAGTGGGGCAAAGCTCTGTGAAATCTACATATAGTGCAAGAGGGCTGAATTGTAAAGGGTAAGTGCTCATGATATCTGTTTTCTGCTTTAGAACTCCTACATTCTTGAGCTACGTGTGGCTCAAACTGGGGGTGCAAAACCACCATAACTCCACTCTAGTCAATGGACTTTCTTCTGATTTACAAATTAGACCATCAAATAATCTATTCATTTTTTTGGACAAAGAGTGAAGATCCTATTTTCCCATATCAGATATGAACTACACCTTTTTGTGTTGCCTGGTCTCTATAAATCTAGCCTGGCATTGTTAGGTTTCATATGCTTTCTGTAAGCATAGCCTATCGTTGTTAGGTTTCGTATGCTTAGCAGGAGAACTAAACAAAGCTTAGGAGTTGTAGACCATGAGCTAGAATTGGTCCTGGGTTTCATGTTTGTTCATGGAATAAGGTATTACTTAGGCTATGCAAAATCCTTCCCTCAGATGCACACTTTTCTTTGAAGAGAGTGCCTAAGCAAGGAATAAAATACTGTGTTAAGTAAACTGTAGTGTTTTTCCTTTATGTACACTATTAACTGGTCCAGGAGTGAATAGGCAGTAAAATAATGATTCATAATAATGAGAGGTAGTTTACAAGAATTTACTACTGCAAATTCAATAAAACTGTAATGATCATAGACCATTCCGGTATTTTATTTAGATCTTTGAGTTTGCTTTAAGCCTAGCTTTGTGGATTTCTGGTGTGATCAAATGCAGAGCACAAGAGTGCAAAATAGCAGCTAGTTGTACATGTAGCAGTTTTATAATCTATGGCTGAACTGATTTCCTTACACTTTGGGAAGTTAGTAATCCTGTCTCTGAGCTGGCACTTTAGGATTAGTTTAAAGTTATACACTCAAAGGAAAAAGCATCTCCTACCACCAGTTATATTGTATCATGCCAGTAACGCTGTTTACTTTGGCAGATCAAAAGTTTCTTTAATCCACAAGCTGTCAGTTGTCTCAGTTTGGTCTCTAGGAATTTTCAGAATGCTTCAGAAAAGCACGAGCCTTTGAGAATAAGGCTTCAGAATAGAAACAGACAGCCTTAATGGTACCTGTCACTAGCACTCTAGCTCTACAGTGGGATGAGACAGGGAGCACAGACTGGTTAGCAGTGTGCCTGAGCTCGGAACAGCTGAGGAGGTTGCTGTCCCCAGCTGTCCATCTGCCTCTGCTGCAGGGGCATCTTCTCCGCCTGTGAGTCAGCTTCTGAATTCTTGTAGTTCACCATGTGGCATCACCGCCTCAGTTTGTAGCAATACATTAAGGCAAACAGAATCCGTCCTTAGCACCACCACCCTACTTCACTCTTTTTTCTTTATTAAATATCATACTTTAAGTGGCACTTCATTCAGGAGCAGACTGGCAAGTAGCTTAGGGAGAGTCAGCATATCATTGGGAGAGTGACCGACAGTGATAAACTCATCAGCCATCTCAAGTTGGGCCATCCCTGTTCATCAGGCAGAGCCGCCCTTCCTACTGAAAGCAGTAACAGAACTTGCATCCTGCAGCACTAACCTAAATGATGACACTCTTTGGTTTTGGAATGATTTGGTCAATGATGAAACTTCAACATTCTTCTAGTGTTGGTGTTCTCTCATTTCTGTGGGATGAGAGCAGGGGGCACAGGGAGCACGGATGTTAATATGTTGACTTTCTCTTATTGTTCTGAAGCAGGTTATTTCAATCGAATGTTTGTTCCATACAGGAAACACTCAGGAGGGGAAAAGACAATGCTCCAGAAGTGGCAGGTAAGCAAAGAATTTCAGCACCTGTCTGTGTATTGGCACACAGATATGTGTGTGTGTACATATGCACTTCAAGGCCTAAGATGTTCTCTCGCTGCTGGAGGTGAGGTTATTGGCAAGAGGAGCAGAGTATTTACATCTGGTTATTGCAGAGGTTTTGCTCTTCCTGCTGTGAAACATATGGTGCTACTGTCTGGCAGATTAAGTGTGATTTTATGCATGTTTTTAAACTGAGACCAAAGAGAGCCACCTAGTTGAATGACTGTTCACAGATCATCCGTACATCTATATCAGTGCACCTCTCGTTTTCCCAGATGTTTTGCTGAGCTGAGAGATGCATTTACTTTCCTGTACCCCTGATCTCGGCGACGCAAGACACACTGAAGAAATCTATATCTTCTTGTTTATATGTAGCACTTTGTGCAGCCTTTTCTGTACAGACAGTTGTCCAGGATTTTCCAATATACAGATTGTATGCATTTGGCTCACTTCTAAATTGGGAAAAAGTACTCTGTTATGCAAACACAGCATAAAAGCAATGGGTGATTATAGACAAATGCAAATGCCTGTCTGAAGAAGAGCCAGAATGAAGACTCAGATACTGTTGAATGGATTGTTGTATAAGAGATATTGTGCTGATATGAATGGCAATGGGTGATTGATTACAATATGACTGAAAAAATAAAATCACAGTTAAGCAGCCCATGGAGTGCTTGGTTAGTTCAGAACGTATTTGCCCAGTAGAAGAAGGGAGACCTTATTGCAGCCTATCAGTACTTAAAGGGAGCTTATAAAAAAGATGACGGCAAACTTTTTAGCAGGGCCTGTTGCAACAGGACAAGGGGGAATGGCTTTAAACTAAAGGGGGGTAGATTTAGACTACATATAAGGAAGAAATTTTTTACGCTGAGGGTGGTGAAGCACTGGCACAGGTTGCCCAGAGAGGTGGTAGATGCCCCATCCCTGGAAACATTCAGGGTCAGGTTGGATGGGGCTCTGAGCAACATGAGGTAGTTGAAGATGTCCCTGCCCACAGCAGGGGTGTTGGACTAGATGACCTTCAAAGGTCCCTTCCAACCCAAATTATTCTATGATTCTATGATCTATAATTTTTGTCCTGGTGCACATGGGAAGCACAGGACTCTGAGGGTGCCTTTGAGGCATGGTTTTCAGGGGTGAAGTAAAGAGATTTTAATGCTTGTTTCCTTTCCCTGGCAGAAGAGGGAGATCAGCAACTTTGATTACCTCATGTACCTGAACACATTGGCTGGCCGCAGCTACAATGATTACATGCAGTATCCTGTGTTTCCATGGGTCCTCGCTGACTATCATTCCAAGGTCAGTGCTTGCTGCAGCATTCTGTACTTTCTATGATAGTAACCATACAAAGGTTTGTTGAATGATGCCATTGAAGCAGAGGAGTCTAGACCAAGAGTTCAAAATTTGAGATAGTTAATTTGAACTGTACTGATGCTATGATTCTGTGATTTATAGATTAGCCTTATCTTCAAATCAGCATGCTGAGGATCATGTTCTGCCTCAGAAAAGTGGATGAATATCTGTTAAATACATACCTAGTTAAGGGCAGGTTGCATTGGCTCAGCAGATAGGCAGGGACAGGCTTCTGTGACCCCTGACAAGGAGGTTTGGACAGAAAAGCCTTGAGAGCAATTTGCAACCTGCCAGGTCCTTTATTTGTGAAGCTCCTTGCACATGCTATCCTCTCAGTGACGCATGCTGCCACTCTCTTTCCAAGTCCCATTCCAGTTCTGGAGATGGGTGTTTTAGTACTGAGCCTGTGGCCTTCTTGTATAGGTGAAACTTCCAACACAGCCTTGCCGCTATCCAGTGTCACTGAGCTAGTCATGATGTCTAAGACTCAGGGATCTAAAAATCCACATCGTTGATGGTTTTGCTTTTCAGACTCTAAACCTTACTAATCCTCATACCTTCCGGGACCTGTCAAAGCCCATGGGAGCACAGACTGTGGAGAGGAAACGCAAATTCATCCAGCGCTACAATGAGGTGGAGAAGAGTGAGGGTGAGTGTTTTAGGAGACTAACAGACAGCAGAAGCTTGAGTCCCCTCAGGCCTTTGGGGATGCTGGTGAATCCCTTGGAAAAGGTCACCCAAAAACTTTCCAGAGCTGTGGCTAAGGGAAGCACATGTCAAGGAGATCCCCTCGCTTCTGGATACAAACTGGTTGAGGATTCAAAGAGAAATGACTCCTGCAAGCACTGCCTTATGTGCCTTGTACTACTGCATTCTGTCCTCTTCCCTTGGGCAGGAAGAGATGCTACAGCAAAAAGCAATGTTCACTAGAAAAGACTGCTCTGTTAACTAAGCTGCATGCATTAGCCTTGCCTGTTAGCTAAGCTGCATGTAGAAGACTGCTGCATGCAGCTTAGCTAACAGCTACTGTAAAAAAAGGAAATAGGACGTTGAGGCTGACCTCGAGATCAAGACCTCTTTTGGTGCTCATGGGGAAGGGGGTGGTCTGGAAAGTTAAAGGTCTTATTCTTCAGAAAATGAAATGTGGAAGGCAAAAAAAGAACATACAGAGATGGTAGTAACTGTGCACATTCAACGCAAATATGCAAGGTGTGCTTTTGCTCACAGATCCTTGAACACACCTGCTTTAAAGACCTGCTTGCTATTTAGTTGTGCTGTGGTAACTGGATGCTATGGGCTTGAAATGGTGATATTTTGCACTGAAATCTGATTTGTGTCCAATTTCCAGGAGACCTGTCAGCCCAGTGCCATTACTGTACTCACTATTCGTCAGCAATTATAGTGGCATCTTACCTGGTCCGAATGGAGCCATTTACTCAGACCTTCTGTTCTCTGCAGGTAAGGGAGCAAAATAGCTTCCCTCCTACACCTTGTTATGAACATGTAGCACATTATAGTGGCTGTGTAATGAAGAGGGATTAATTCTTTTGACATTTTCTGTGTACTCTGTGTGGACTCTGGACTCACTGAAGGCTCTATGCTGTGTCTGTTGAATTCAGTGAAAACATCTTAATGGGAGCATGATTGATGCCTGACGATCTTGTTTTTTCTGAGGGAGAAGGTTTATTTAGTTTTGGTCCTGTGATGCATTTTGTGAGAGCTGACGTATGTAAACACCTAGATAATGTTTTACTACCTGTCTGAACATAAGCTGCTGACTTTGGGACATATGAGACTTTCATGGTAGGTATTCTAAGCCCAAATGCCCATACAGTAACGCAGTTACAGGCAAGTACTTGGAGCTGGCTGTGGTGGGATAAAGAGCATTCCGGGGCCAGATGAGGATGCACAGGTTCTGGTGGGTGGGGAATGATAGGGATCATGGGATCAGCTCCCTGAGGGAGAAATGGGGTGAGACTACATCCAGTGCTCCAGAAGGAATATTTTGTTTCAGCTTGTTCTGAACTTGCCACTGTTTCATGGTGCCAAAAGCACTCCCTATGGAACTGAATTTCATGGAAACTGAACTTTGTGCTTACCTTTCCCAGCTGGTCAGCATACAGGGACACCAAGTTTGCTGACTAGCCTCTTCAGCAGGCAGTTGGTGACACACAAGCACAGACACTTGGGCTGTAGCAGTTGTTACCCTTATTTCTGTAATATGTGTTCTGTTACAGCTGGGTCTATCAGGAGGACAGGTCCTCAAAAGTGTATTTGTTAAGGAGTCTCTTGCCAAAATCTGCTTATCCTTATGGAGCAATGTGAGGGAGACAGCTAGGCCAGAATATTCCACACTCAGAGACTGCTGTACATATGGTGAGGACTGGCCATGCCTCCTGCAGCTCTCCAAGTGCTTTGCTGTTGTGCTGGGTTTTTTTCTTTGTTTTTTTTTTTTTTTAATGAACTAATACAAATAAAGCGCTGTGCTAATTAAGTAATAAGCCCTATGATACCGGCTGTTACCAGCAGTAGCTGATGGGTTAGTGAACCACCTGAGGCAATGGTTACCATTGCACTCCGTGAGCCATATGTTAGCTGCAGTCATGAATGACTGTGGAGCAGTTATTTCTTGTAAACAACTAAGGCTGCTGTATCTCACTGGCACACTTTTCATGCATAACAAGTTCCTAGTCTGAGTAGCTGCTTTGCAGCAGTATTTATGTGTGATTAGCAGGTAACCAGCATTTTTGTGGGGATACTTATCTTCAAAGGCTGCTGAGATCTCAAGCACTCAAAATTTTGTGTGGATACGGATCCACTGAAACTGTTGAACTTCTTCCATGCTCATTCCTTTGCTCTTATGTTACTGCATGTTCAGCTGAGCTCATTGCTGTCATTTCCCCCAGATGACTGGTCCTATAGTGGCTTAGGAATTGCTAACTGTGAGATGCAGTCAGGCAAACAGCAGACCTGAGAACTGTATGCTCAAGTCAAGAGCAGGTTGGAAAAGAAGTACTCCCAAACTTACGACCTTGGAAGGGTGCTGAGTTGGGAGCTGTGAAAGCTTCTCAGCATCTTAAAAAGTGGAAAAGCTATAGCAATAACTGCAAACTGCCAGTCTGAATGCACATGACAAGGAAATGCAACAACTTGGGTGCACCCCTTGTGAAAAACTGGTGCGGGTGTACCATCCTCTTTCTCAAGTCAAAGAATTGATTTGCACCTGACCACAGAAGGTGGCAGCGAGGAAGCATTGCCTCTAGTAAAGGAACTGTACAGGAGTTTACAGAATCTTATTATTTCACATTATATTTAAGTGTATTGAGAGCTGACTGGGGAAAAGTGTGTATGTGCTTTGCAGATTGTAGTGGAATGGATGAAAGACTGACTCATCCGACAGGTGTTGGAGGTACTTTCTGCTTCACCTTGGTCAAATACCTCCCAGAATTCCTTTCAGGTGTTGGTCTCAGAACCACAAAAAAGCAGCAAATGTTTCTGTGTTTAGTGTCTTCATTGGAAAGGCATTCAAGGACCCCATGCCCTCAATAATTAGTGACACTTGCTTTTGATTCAACTCAGATTTTAGGCCCTTTTATTCTTATCCTACTGTTGCATTTCAGCTAGCAGGCTGATCTTCTTTCCTAGCGTTTACCTGCCAAAGAGAATAGAGTTCTTACTCTTCATTGTGTCACTGACTCTTGAGCAGTCATTTAAGCACTGTCTGCAGGTAATGACTTCTCAGCAACTCTGGGGGTGTGGTAAGTCTTTGCACCTTCGTAAGCATCTCTTAGAAACACTTGGAGGTCTTTGGGTTTAAAGCACCACCAAGGATCTTAGGATGCTTAATTTTATAAACACGAGAAGTTCTAACTTCTCTCTAGAGATCACTTTGACTAGTTGCTTTGTATATA